TCTCTATAACTGGAACCATAATATGTGAGACTTTTGTGCTCAGCTAAATGTCCTCATAGGATATCAATTATTGCTATTAGAAAATCATGAAGAATGAGGTGCTAATGCACAAGGGGCTGTTTTCAGGCACCGGGAATACGCAGAATGGTGGAATCCCACCTACATATTAGGGAATGGTGAGACGGAGAAGAGACAGATGGGGAATCATCTCCTGACTCTTCTGTTACCAGTCTGGAGTTACTCACTCAGATGTTTGAGAAAACACAAGTATTTCTCAATTCTCAGTTATGAAATGGCTTTTATCACCAGGTTGATTTTATTAATAGAACATCTATATATAAAATAAAGTATCTATAATACTGTAAATAGCTATTTAGGTGCCAGTTAAAATACGTTGAGTCCCAAACCTGAAACAGTGTGAAATAGGAGTTGAGTTGCTCAGTCTAGTCACTAAGACAGGCACCTGCAGAGCATAAGGCACAGGGGAAGTGGCTTAGGGTTGAAAATTAAAGTGAAAGTGAAAGTTTTCTGAATTGAAGTTTTAGACTTTGGCACCTAGATTTGCCTAAGATCCACTAAATAATATTTTAGAACTTGCCTACATCTGACATAATGGAATAAATGTGTGATACTTTGGGTAGAGACTCTTGCCCTTTTTTCCAAACCAGGTATAATTTGCAAAGCAACTGAGACGACTTTCTCTGTAAGTAGTATTCAACTACTTACAGTTATATTGGACAACTGATTACCTATATCCCATCTGAGCAGTTGTGACTGATAAGTTATTAAAGGTATATATATATTCATAGGGGAAAAGCATGTGCCTCCAGCTGGTGAAGGGGCTGCAGCACAGACCTTATGAGCAGTGGCTGAGGGAGCTAGTCTGGAGACGAGGAGACCTTGCTGTTCTCTACAACAACCTGAAAGGAGGTAGCAGGGAGGTGGAGGTTGGTCTCTTCTCCAGAATAACTACCAGTAGGATAAGAGGAAGTGGCGTACCCCAGGGGAAGGGTAGGTTAGATATTATATGTGTTCTGTTTTCTAAGGGTTGACTTAGAGATTAAAAAAAAAAAAAAAAAACTAACTAGGAAAAAAATCCTTTGTACTATCAGCACTGAAATGAGTCTCTTTAATCTTTTCTGAGCTATGGCTTAGAAGAAAAAGTAATACTGCTCCAGAAGCTGGGGAAAAAGAAAAGGATAGAGAGAAAGTTGCTGATTCCAAAAGTAACATGTATTTGGCCTTTTTTTTCCAGATTCACACCATTAATATCTTTCAGGAGTAGATATGGTAACAGCAGAAATGAAAAATGCACATGGATCACATCTGGCAACTGATAGAAACAGAGCATTATTTAAGATACTGAGATGTAGAAAGGTTTGGCAAGGCAAATTAGTAAATTTTAAAAGTAACAGAACAGATTTCCTTGAGGATTTCAAGTTTTTATTTCTAAATATATATATATCATTTAAAGGATTAAGAGTCTGCTCTTTTTGCTTAGAAATAAATAATGTTCTCATTGGTACACTCCATAAAAAAGACCTTTTTCTATTAGATCCCAAAGTCTCAGCCTCCATCCAGTACTAAACATTCTTAGTTGCTGGCATAAGCAACTGCGTCCCCTATCTATCCTCCTCCTCTTCCTGACTTCTGTTTTTTTGATGCTGAATTTACTAACATAGTTTCTTGAATTTCAGTACCTCACCAGAGAGCTGATCTCAGTTGAGGAAGATCCTCAAAGGGAAACATAGGCGCCCCTGTACGAACTCTTTCTAGGCTACTGAGTGTGTCTGTATCAAACCAGAATACTGGTTAGCTAAATAGAGAAATCCACTTTAGGAAAGTTTAAGATAACTGCTCAGATCCTTCTGAGGTCTGAGGCACTTAACATCTGAGTGTGTAATATTTTTCTTTAAGTAGTTTTCTTTAAAAGGTTTCTGTTAGATATTTTTTTGACAGTTCATTATTAATGGATATAATTTGATGCATCCTAATGTCTTCAAAAGAAAAATATTTACTTTTCTTTCCCTACAGTAATTGCCTCATTTAATTCTTGAAAGCTCATAAAACTCAGGGTTTTTCGGGTGTAAATACGCAGAAACTTTGCATCAAAGCCCGAGCTAGCAGTTTAAATCTCTCCTTTCCAAATATAAATAAGCAGAGCTGAAGCCTGCACAGTAAATTTAATAGTTACATATGCCCACACTCCATACTCCAAGGAAAATGAAACTATGGCCTTATCACAGCAGACCGATAGCTTTTACAGGTTTTGTTTGTTGTTGCTGTGTCTACCTATGATTGTTGTAAGTCCTTTTTTTTTTTTTATCTGCAATATTTCAACAAAATTAATCTTTGGTATTAATTTTGAGCCTAGACTGTTTTCTGAACAAGTAGAATTAATGCCTAAATCACAGAAAACTCAGACTAACAAGTGCAACTAATGTTTTGGAATAAATGCCTTCTCTACAAGTCGTAGAAAAGGGAGATATGAGTGAAAAGAATGATTAAGTGAAGAGAGACAGATGGGTAATACTTTTGTTTTTGCAAACAAGTGAAAGATAAGAGACATCTGTAAATGATATAACATCTGTAAAGTATAAGTCAGTATTATCCTTTGGAATGTATGGAGCCAAGTACCAGTTAAGGCATAGTTGTATCATTGTGAGCTGACACCAAATATTCCTACAGAGCAGAGCACTAGAACTTTGTTTAAAACTTGAGTTGCCAACACCACCTAAATAATTTATGTTAGCTTTGTAATTCTGGAAAATAGCTCTCAATTTATTTGACTGAAAAACGACTTTAAAAATAGAGGAAAATGAGTAATCAGTAAGATTGAGAGAAAAAAAAAAAGTGTGGAGCATAGTTAAGGTACTATTTCTATTACATTTAAAACAATCTCAAAATCTTGAAAGTCCCTTCTCCTAACATCTGGCCTGGATAGTAAATACTTCAAGTGTTTTAAAATAGATCTACATACAGAAATTTGTTGCTGAAAGCTGTTCTTTGCATCGTCTTAGGACCATCTAACTTCAACTTTGAATTACTGTGATTGTGTCATCACAGAGGTAAGCAAAGATTAGTTTCATAAGATGAAAAATAAGTCAGCAGCTCCACAATATAAAATCAGATTCTTTTTCATTTTTTGAATTTTTTTTACCTAATTTAAATTTCTCCATGTGAGATGCTATACCACTAGCATAAGCTCTTCTCTCAGTGGGTGATTTGTTTTGGTTTTCCTCATTTAAACACACACACTCTGAAACGCCTTGTTTTCAGAAACAGAGAATTTGTCTTATTTGATAAGAGAACAGACATCTGGCATTCAGTCTAATTTTATGTCCTAAAATCTGATACTTTGTTCGAAAGATTTAAGAAAAAAAAATGTATATAAGTTTTTATTTTTATTTTCACATACATTTGACACATGCATGTGTATATATACATATTTGTGCGTATTTAGTTATACGTATATGTGTGCATATATTTTTATATTTAGCATGTTTATATATGCACACACATATATATGCATATATATATATATGTATGTGTATGTGTATAACTAAATGTAAATATAATTCCACCCTATTTTATGATCTTCATTTTTAATACTAACCTTTTATCATGGTATCTCTCAGCCCATCCAATCTGACTTCTGGCCCAGGCATATGTTAATGAGCTGGTGTGGTCCCACTTTTTGCTGATGTGTCACTACTTCCTTTACACTATTTATTTTGTGAATGACCATAATGTTTGCAAAACTTAACATTGGTATGTCACACAGTCGCTTTTCATATAGCAGGATACTCTAATTGCAGAAATGCAAACATATATGCTTCTCTGTGAAAAGTATAATGGCTTGGGTTTCGTATAACTGAAGCTCTTACACAGCTATTTCAATTATGGCATATAGATTATTTAGATTGTTTTTCCTTCTGTTATTTACAATCGGAAAATAGAATTTGCTTTTCTTATAAATATATATTTCTGAACTTCCTCGTCCATGTAAAAACTTTAAAGACAGAAAGACCAAAATGCTACAGGTTGATTCCCAAGCACGACAATATTTTGTTTAGAGGGAGTAGAAATGAGAAACAGGCTGTTTCTCATTTTGGCACTGTTGGCATTGACAGCAATTTTACCAGAACAGAATATAGAAGAGTAATCTATTTTAAGCAAGGCATTAAAGGCATTTCCAAGTTTCTTCCCTTGCATTTGTTCTAAAATAATGTGTTCTAAAACAATAAACTTTTAATAACATTTTAGCAATTTACAACAAAAAATCCACTTAAGCTGGTTATAATGCTGTTTTTTATTATTATATTGGGGCAATTCTCATGGAAAGCAAACTAAAATCAGATCTTGCTCCCACCCTTGTACGAATAGCTTTGTTTGGGAAGGCTTAGGTGTTACTCCCCTGATCCTTTGACCCTCGTGGAGGGTGGTTTAAACAGTATGGCCAGCTGCTCAGGTAGAAGTATAGTGAAAAAACTAAACCGCAGGCATGAAGGGAATTCTTAAGAAACTGTAAATACAGGCACTTGGAGCTTTAGACATCGCAAAAATAGGATCACACATTTGAACTGAGCAGACCTTTAGAATCTGTACCCTATCTTGGTATAAGATAATGGGCCATTGTAGCATCTAGTTCGTATAAGCCCTAACTCCCCCATAGCAAATTTTTGGTCACAACTTTTAACTGTTCAATTTATGCAAGTGGAAAAGAAGTTTCATTGTGGGGATTTTAAATGAATGCAACACTTCAAGATTCTTGTCAAGTGTCAGTCTTGGCTTTGCTCTGTTTCTATTTCTGTGAGCATTAATTGCCACATACTATATTAATGCAGCATTGAAATTGAGACCAATCTTGTTACCTAGGTTTATAGTGTTAAGGAGTGGCATTTTGTATCTGTCTTACAAAGATTCAGAGCAGTAACTGCACAAGAACAGAACCTAGACAGAACAAAAGGACTGTGAAGGATGAATAGGTTCTGTTTCTTCAAAAAAATATATGTATCACTTTAAAACAACAGCATTGCAAAGCATAAATAGGATTTATTTCAAAGGAAAAGCATTCTCGTTTCTATGGAATTGGAAGCTAGATCAGGCCAGCAGCTCAATCACTACTAGAACTGTTTGAACTATCAGAAGATGAACTTTTTTCCTTTTTTCTTTTCTTTTTCTCCTTTTTGTGATGCTTTCCTTTCTTAGATTTATTCTTCTTTTCTTTTTTCTTTTCTTTTTTTTGTGATTTTTGTTTTTTTGATTTTGGCTTATCCTCTTCAGATGTACTTGATGAGGAAGATCTATTAGAAAAAAATACAGACTGATAATTAATCAGAGGAAGAAAAACAAACCAATATCTATACAATATCACAAGTCTAATCTGGTACAAAATTCACATAGTAGTATCCATATCCACTGGAAATCTTGTAACCATCTCTGTCTATATTCATCTGAACAATGATTTTTCTTATTAGATGATCTTGGTAGAAAAGCAGTAGGTTTATAATACAGATATATCATCACAATGAAAGAGGCTAGTTGCATGTTTTTCAACCTTAATTAAGTTGCTTAGACTAGAGAAATCAAGAAAACAGAGTGGAAGTATGACCATTTATCATACAAAAAAAGGTAGGAGAAACAGGTATGGCAAGCTTGCAGCTGATAACACTTGTCTTAACAGACAGCGATGAGTGAAGTGACTATATACAAACAAGAATTAAGATGACAATAAAAGGGAAGTCCTGCTTATTTTACTCTACAGTGCAGTTTTATATTATAGTTCACGAGAGCAATTATTACTTGCACATAGAGACTACAGTGAGCAGTCTGAGCTCCTCTGTACTGCCTTTATAAGTACAGGTTATAGTTACACTATGTAAATAAGCAAGGGGAAAAATGCCAGTAACACCCATGTTAAATCATGTTTCTTTACACTTATTTTGTTTCTGAAAAATGTGTTATTGTGAAATTACACATTTCCTGGCTCTTAGTGTAGTTTCTAGGAGATTATCTCATCCATAGTCCTGACAGCCAATAGACTCATCTAAAAATCCGTCAGCAGAACAAAATTCAGAATCAGTAAATTTGTGTATTATGACATTCTCTTTTGAAAATGGAGAAACACATTTTTTTGGCTTCTAAGGAAGAGGAGTGTTAAAACTCAGCACATTTTAAGTAACACTTCCAAAAAAAAATCCTACTGACAGTTATAGGTCAGTCAACAAGGGAGGAAGGGGCAATGAAGGATCTCATGGTTGCCTAACTCCAGAGTAGACCCTTTACGTGACCGAGCTGGGGATCTCAGGGCTGCCACCAAAAAGCTCTGCTAACTTGTTCGTCTTGTTCTAATTTTCCCACCACATCCTGGGGTCCCTAAGCATGGGAGCACTGCTATTTCAGGAATGCAGGCCTTCACAACTTCCCTGCCTTGCTAGATTTGCAAAATTTTTGTCGTCCTAACAGTATTTTATATGTTACCGCTATTCAAAAAAGGGGGCAGATTCTCACTGGAAAATAGGAGGATTTTCAGACCAAACAGATACTTGGCAAAACATACTGGATCAAAAGAAACAACATTCTCTGGAAGAAAAAAAGAAATTCCAACACAGAATATTTCTAAAGCTCTGTTTTCAAATTAAATTAGGTATGTGAGTTACCTTTTCCTTGCTCTCTTTAATTTCACTTTTTCTTTGCTCTTTCTTTTCTGTTTCTTTCTTTCTTCTTCCTCATTTAAATCTACGGATAAAAAGTTACAGTTTACAAAATATTTCAGTTCTGAATTAAGACTAGCATTAAAAGAATGGTTTCATCAGCAGCATAAAATTAGCATAAAATTCTTGATAAAAGTTTTTCTTTTCCTTCTCTTGTTAATTAATTCAGAAATATTTTGCAGAGCAGAACTTGTTATACCACTTACAAAAGTTCCAAGGACTTTTGTTTAAAAATTGAGAATGAGTAAACTCCTGTAAAATGTAGCAAAATTTGTTCCTTTACTTTCACATTTACATCAGCTTTAGGTTTCAATATCTATTACTCTGTATTCTTAAGACTTGCAGTAGTCTGAAAACAGGTCACATAGAATGTACTGAATAATAAAATGCATATTCCCTCAGGCTTACCTGAATTACTTGCAGGCAACCTCATTTCACATGCAAATAGCAATTATTTAAGCCATAACTAGGATAAGCTTCAATTTACTGTCAATATACCATCTGCAAAAACTGTTAGAAAAGTCACTCCTACTCTGGCCTCTCCCCACCTTTCACATGCATTTGAATCAAAGCTAAGTACAGAAGAGAAATACTGAAGAAATATGAAAGGACAGCTAGAAAACTCCTACCATTACGTAAAAACGCAGTTAATGACTAAAGAGAAAGACACTACAAATAGTCCTTTTATCAAGACCATGCTTTAAGATTGAATAAATGCTATAATGAAAAAGAAAATTTTCAGAGACTGAACTAGTGATGTAAAAACGATATTCAAATACTTCTGAGTTTCATAAGCACTAAATATTATCTGTAGTTTCAGGGAAAAGATATGTTTAGCTACCTCAAACCCGACTCTCTGGATTATGTTTTGGAGGGACAGTTAGATAGCAAGTGTATAAAGAAGACGCAATCAAATCTTCTACCATTATAGACTTCTTGTCAATCACCTTATAAGTTTAAGTGTGTCTGTGAAAAAACATTGCTTCAGCAACTGATTTTTGTGAGTTGCTTTAAAAATTAACTAGGTATTTGCTCAAAACAAGCTCATTAAAATCCAGAAGGCTAGGTTGGAAGACATGCAGGACTTTCTATCGCAGATTTGACTCTTCTGCATAGCAATGGTGTTCAGCAAAGGAGATGTTTAAGTGGGATGGAGGAGATAGTAACAAAGAGTGCCTCTGTCCAGAACTGTGAATTTGCCAGTTGAAGGTAACTAGAAGTCAAGCTTCTGCCATGAACTGTCCTCTAAACAAACCTGTCACCCTTCTTCCTCTTTCCAACCTCCAGAAAAACCGTACAATTGTATGCTTGTGCCAAAGCCCATAGTAACACAGTTACCAATACAAACTCAATGTAAGAGGCATTCAGGTTCAGATAGGAAGATTGTTGTTACTTATTTTCTTCTAAGCAGCTGCTTATTAGCAGTCTTACAATTTTTTGTATTTAAAAGTTCCTTTTGAGACATTCCAAATGGGTTCATTAATAATTTCCTACAGAAGAAATTAATTATAATAAAAAAGACTTAGGTGTATCGAATCTCTTAAGTCTGAATATATGAAGTAAAATTCTTCTTTCAAAGCACTGATTCGAAGAATAATAATTCTCAAAAAGGATAAAACTATTATTTCAGTTATTCAGGAGAGCATTATGTGACTGTTATTCTCTTTAAAGAAAAAAAGAAAAAACAAAACTGAAACCACAGACATACTCTTTTTTTCACGTAGAGCTTGCAATCTTTGTAGCTCTTCTTCTTCACTGTCTTCACTACTTGTGCTGCTAACATCTAAAACAATATCTCTTTGGGGATCCACTCGGAGGAAATTTCGACACTCGAATGTCAGGTGACCAGCTGAACAAACAAGTATTAGGAAGAAAAGTTACAAATTACCAAATGATAGCTAGGGAACACACATTCTAGATTTATTCAGTCTGGTTGGTGAAAACGTGAGACTTGATGTAGGAATGGGGGAAGGTTTACTTGTAAAAGTATTGAAGAACTATTAGAGGCTGCGCAAAGGTATCCCATTTAATGGTGCTCCATGGCCTCTCTTTATATTTATGTAAATTTAAAGATTTGGTCCAACTTCTGTGTTCTACTCTTTTAATGGTTTCAGATCCTTTCCTGAAGGAGCAAAATATTCCTAGAAGCAAGGAGCAAAATACTTAAAAAACTAGATATTCCTGCTTAAGTTAAGTTTGGCAGAGACTCCAAAGAAGCAGAAGGTACTAGGTTAGGCATCAAAGAACTCCGAATTTAAAGCATGGTTTTTAACTGCATGCAAATGAAGCGTGTACGAGTAGCATACTGTTTTCATGGAGGAACTTGAGGGTTTTTGAAAGCAATAGTTCTGTATCTGAAATCTCTGTGTTAGATTCATCTTTATATTGCTTATTATAGACTTACGGTAGCCACATTTCTTGCATCCTGCCCTGATATTATCCTTATTTCCACCTGAAAGAGAAAATGCCATCAAATAGGTGTTGAGAACCCTTAAAGTGTTTTTTTTTGTTTGTTTGTTTCTTTGTTTTTAAGCTGACTTGACAATGTCAATTCTCAGATGGGAAGGACCATTCCTTTTAGGACGCTGGGATCACCAAGACTTCACACTGTCACCAGGAAGACTGACACAAGCTTGGGCACCATAAACTGGTATGGATCAATCAGCTTATATAACTTATTGCCAAATCCTCACTTTTTTTTTTTTCTGATCTTAAACTTCGATAATGATTCCACTTCTCTGAAAACGTATGCATTAGTTTTGTTACAGAATGGACATGTTAACAGTCACGAGGCTGTTCCTGTGGTCCACAACTGCGCACCACAAGCACAACAAGTTCTTGCAGGGCGTGCATGCTGAGGGACAACATCTGGCAGCTCTGAGCTGATGGATATTTTAATTGCAAGAACCGTCTAAGAGGGCAATGAAAATAGAGGGAAATAATCATTCTTGGAGAAGCAAAAAAAAAAAAAAAAAGATAAAAAAACTAATAAAAAAATAATCAGGC